TCACACAAGTTTTCTCTACTGAAATTGTTGAAGGTACAGTAAAAAAAATTCCTTAAAGATCGATACTACCATCTCTTAAAGACAAAATTCAAATTTGGTATGTCATTATAAGGATAGAAAACCCTTAAAAATCTTTATCGCACCTTGATGTGCGAAGTGAACTAGGAAAAGAAGACAAGAATTAATAAACTTTTGACATGGGTTCAAGGATGTGCCTGATGACCTATAGAGGAATATGACTACACTGGAGCCTCTTTTAATCCCAAAGACATAGATAACTACACAATAAATTATTTGGTCATATTCAATATGAAGTATTGACAAATTCTCAAGTTTACTGCAAGTTGTAAATACTTTCTTGAAGTAATGGATGTGTTTCTCGACACTGCTACTGGAATAGAAGTGTAGTTTCAAATTGAACTTCATCACTCTGGTTGATTTTTTAAAAACACCCAAACAAACTGAATAATTTGTGTAATATTTCTCCCTTTCAAGTATACATAATAAGTTGAATTGTTGTCCAATATGATACAATCTCACTTTAATTTTTTATTTTAATAATTACTTATGATACATTTAAATGGAGAACTTTAAAATGATATATGTAAAACAAAAGATAGACTTGAACTTTCTACACGTTAGAATTAGAATATTTGTTCATTTTTTTCATCCTTTTAAAATTCATTTATCCCTTCACCAACGATTATTTATTTATTAGAAAATTTAATATCTCCGGTACAGTTGATGTTCATTTGAATCCCCAAAAATATCAAGTAATAACATTTCCTGGGCAAAAAGATAAATTATAAAATCAAATCAAAGATGATTGATTGAAGGATAAATGATAAGATACTATAATTATCATCTTCCTTTATATTATTACTGTTTGTTACTACGTAATCTTATATGTAAGATAATATAGTGTTTTAATTTTAATGACTCATAGATTTTAAGTATTATTTTATAAATTATGTGATATTAAATTTCCGCATGAAGCACGGGTGATTTTACTAGTTAATGGATAATTTTACACTTAGTTCCTAATTTACCCTTATTATTAATTATAGTCATTTTTCCATTACATTTTTCAAGACATTGCATTTATTATATTAAAGGGGTAATATAGTAAAATTACCCTTCTATTTATAGTTTCTTAAAAAGTGTAGAAAATCAATAATAAACAGGTATTGTTAGACAAGGGGAGTACTTAGGACTTCTACTTTAAACTTTTTCAAGTTTAAGAGTCTCGTATCTATTATGAACATAATCAAATAATAATTTGAGAAATAATAGTAAACGATAGCTTTCTATTGTAGAGTATTTTAATAAAGGTTTAAAAGTCCATTTAACATTTTAAAGAGCTTTCATGCTTTTTAAAAAATATAGATTAGTTAAATGTACATGTTTCTGTGTGTGCGTCACGTTAATTAATAATGAATGTATATAAAAAGAAGTTATCATGTGTATGCTATAATTTAAGTATAATTTTTTTTTAAATATCATAAACTTCTTAAGATAAAAAATGTACTTATAAGGAACATGATAACTCATCGTTACACTAACAATTAAGGAGCAAAATTAAATATACTGTTATTGATATTCAAAAGTCAAAATTTTGTTGATAATACATGAAAACACATTTTAAATAGTAGGTAAATGAAAAACAAACTACATTATGTATGAACATATAATAATATAACACAATTAATTGTAACAAATTAAAAGTAACATTGACAATCTAAAGTTGCGATGAAAGAAGAAACTTCACATTACCTGTAATATATATAAATTGATGTATTTGTCTTTGATTTAACTCTTTCACAATTTTAACTTCCGTATATAATAATGTCACATAAATAATAAAGAATAACTTTTTGGAAGCAATTAAAAACTAAAAACGAAAGAATATAAAAAGTATAATAATTATTTTGCTACCTTTTTTGGAACTTTATCTAATAACAAATAACTTAAGAATATATATATATATATATTATTTATTTATATTTATATATATTATTATTATAAGTGGGAAGAATCTAAGTCAAAAGTTAAATTATCGTTTTACCCCTAAACTAAATAAAAAAGATATAAAAATACATTAAATAAAAAACTGAAAAGACTCATAATACTGACTTTTTCAAATTAGAGAACTCAGCAGTCTTCATCCAAAAAAATAAGAAAGCAGTGAACCTCTTGGCTCAATCAATGCTGTCACTTTTGGGAGCTTTGAAGTAGGTAAACTTTTTTATTTTTGTTTAGATCTATTAAAAGTCTCAAATGATCACAAGTTTTGTTCAATAATAAGAAGTTATTTTCTTTCGGTAGCCAACAACACGTTCACATTTCTTTATTTTGATCGTTTTGAGATGCCGTATGTCTACTCTATTTTATTTTATTTTCTTGGGTTTTTATGATTGTGAATAATCCCTTGTAGGAGTACTATTTTGTTCATAAAATTCTTGTGTTTATCTCAATGTTGTATTAACAAATAATAATTAGTAATTTTAGTTATTCACTTTTAAGTGAGCTTACAATCACTTTGATAGATTTTTTTTTTATTACTTCTGGTATTCGATCATTGCTTATTATATATATATTTGTCAATATATGTTATTTCTTAAATTCCTATTACTCTCCAAACCTCACTTTGTGAGATTATATAAGCAATATAAATGTGTTTGAGCACTCAAAGAAGTACTATTCAATTGTATTGTTTATATAATTTGACAAAATGAGATTTGGAGAGTAATAGAAATAACAGATATTAACAAATATATATATATATAAAAGCAATGATTGAATACCATGAGTATCAACACTCAAAAAACTATTATTCAATTGCTGAAAATCATATTCCTTGAGAGAATAAACATACAAACATTAGAAACTTTGAGAAATTGGACTGTTAGTGGAGCACAGGTGATTTGGTGAATTTCACAAGCGCGAAAGGTTCTCTGCTGCACTAAAGCATGGTTAGAATTCTGTTCATCATTGCCTTTTTTATTTTATTTTTATTTCAATGTAGATCCACATGAGTTCATTTTGTGTGCTTTGCCCTTATTTTTGGTTCAATGTAATGCACACACAGTTTCTACGAAGTACATATTTTTTATTTCATATAGATATGCATCTTTTAGAAACATTTTATGTCTACAATAAAAAAAAAAAACAATCAAGCACTAATAATTTGTGGAAAATACTAATCAAATCTTTCTAGACCTTTACAACCTAGCATATTTTATTAATTTTATATAGAAAGTCACATCTTTTATTGGACTTTACTATTAGCAACATCTTCCTAGTGTTTTTTTGGAATATGTAACGATGAATATTGATTAGGTCATATGACATATTTTTTTTATCAAGAAATATATTTATCTTCTTTTATCTTTTATTTTTTATTTTTATGTGTAAATATGACAATGAATGATTCAATACTATTTATTCCTTCTCAAGAATTAGGTACACTAATTACCCAAAATTATGTTGTTTTTTTGTTTTTTTTCTCCATTTTTTTCTTTTCCTCTTCTTCATTTAATTTAAAAATATGTAAGATATATATATTTCTTTTCTTAATAAATATTGACATTTATATAATTTCTTAAACCCCCCCCTTCCTTTTCTTTCTTTCGATTTATTCAATAGAAAATAAATACGGTATAACTTTTCTTATTATATTATTGTCATTTATTCCATTTTCTTAAATACCTTTCTTCATCTATTCATATTCTTCATTAATGTTATTAGTACTACAAATCATTATTATATTTGTTCAAATACAATAATAAAATGAACCCCAATTCAAGTGTAGTCATGATTTTTATAATTTCTTAAAATGACTCTTCATTACTTACTTTTTTTTTATCAATGGTTCTTGGCTTTGTTTCAATTGATTTCCGTAACAATCTTATGGACTCCTTTTAATCAACCAAAAATAATAAATATTCTGTTGGATTATATATTACATTTAAGACATCAACTATTTTTCTTCTTCATTATTTAAATATTTAAGATATTTAGACTGACTTAATTTTGCTTCATGTTCATTATTTATTCTTTTCACTTGATATTGGTAATCCTCACATTGTGTTTTTTCCCATTATTCTACATAAACAAAAAAAAACTTTATGTTTTATGGATGCAGGTGTACTAAAATATTAAAAAGAATAGAAATGTTGAATAAGAAATTATCTCATTGTATTGAAAATTGATTAATTTTTTGTTTCATTATTTCTGCATATTAGAAGGTTTGGTTTTAGTCTTTGCAAAAAAAGAATACGTTTATTCTAATATTATGGAGCACACTAACCAATAGATTAGTTACAATAAGAATGAGAAAATATCAATTGAAAAGTTTATATTTATACAATAACTCCACACAATTTAACATGGGACACATGTGCAACGCACGTGTTCAGGACTAGTATATATATATATAATAATAATACATATTGATGAGAGAAAATGTTCCTAATACTTCTTATAATTTATTTTCTTTTTATCATATATTTTAGGATTTCTTAATTTTTAAAATATATTTTTCTTCATACCATATGTTTTAGACTTCTAATTTTTAAATATTATAAAGATAATTAAATAATACTTTTTAAAAATAATAAATGATAATTTTGTATATCTAATATTTTCTTTAAGAGAGAAAAACCAAAACAATGAAAAGGAAAAGACAAGGTTATTACTCTTTGCTTTTAACCAGCAAAGTGGGAGTTGCGGCGTCAAACGGCCCAAGGAATTACGGATTGGCCATTTACGCACAATTTTTCACTACAAACAATTGTCTCTTCTATTTTTTTTCTTACTAACAAAATCTTTTCTCCCTCTTTGTCCCCAAAAGGAGCTAACTTTCCATTTTCGAAGGCTGTGGGAGAGCAAACATCTGCATCTGCATCTCAATCAATTTACAGCAACAACCGGAAAACCCTTTTAGCTCATTAGCTATGCTCGGAATAATCTTGCCCTATTTTTTCACCAGGTCAATCATAAAAACTATGTCTTTTTTTCCTTTTTCACTTTGCTAACATTGGGTCTTTCAATTCATGCTTATTTTCTTTAATGGTGGAAAAAAAAATTAAACTTGGGGAAGAAGAAAAGAGATTTTCTATACTTGAAAAGTTATTAAGAAAACCCCACTTGACTGGGCTTTGAGTTTTGGTAGATTTATTATTTATGTTTAGAGGATTCTTGATGTTATATATCACTAGGCATGCATGTCATGTATAGTCTAGTTACAGAATGGCATGTTAGTTTATGAATAAGTGTGAGATTTAGAGAATCTATAGAGAAACCTAACTTGCCTTAAACGACAAATTATTGATCATGAATTCATAATTGGAATGAAATGGGTCGACTAGTGGCAGAGCTAGGGATTTTCATTAAGGGGATCCTAAAATATGAATAAGTAAAGTCAAGGGGATTCAATGTCTACTATATCTGACATAAAGTTAATTTTTACCTTATATAGACAATGTACTTTTTCAGCACAGGGGGTCGGATAAACCCCTTCTGTCCCTAGCTCTGCCTGTGCATATATAGTCAATCAATCTGCATTGGATAAGGACATTGATCATTTATCAATTGGTCATTTGATTGATTGCATCACTTATGTTGTTGCTGTAGTTAAATTGTTATCTTTTTTCTTGTGTCCTCCTCCTCATCTTGTCATTCACTTGGGATACCTCACTTTGTTGAGGAATTCTTTTGTAGGTTATGGTATTTGTAGTATGAATTTATTGAGTTTAAACCGGGACTTGATATATTTCTAGAAAATATCAAGCAGTTTCTTGATGTGTTACATTTTCAGAAGATGATTCTTTGTGGTTTAGTAATTTAAAAAGGAATTTAATTTCTCTCCATAAAACTTTGCTGAGGTTTATTAAATGCGTAAGATGTTAATGTTTGCAAATCTTTTGGCTGTTAATGGTTATGGAAAATAAGTAAATAACCCTAGATTATGATCCCAAGGCGGACACAGTGAGGGGATTTGTAGTGGTACTGATATCCTTTGTCCAGTACTTATATGAAATGTATGAAAAGGAGAAAAAGGAAGGATGTAAAATAAAATGCCATGTCTGATTGCTATCCCATCCCTTCCTCTTGGGTAATTTTTATGTTGTAAAACATTTTACCAAAATAGTCTTCTGTCCTGCTTTGTTCAGTCCAATAAAGGTGTCAGAGCAAACGCTAATTGTTGTTTGGCTCCTAATGTCTGTACCATTTGAAGTTTAAACAAGAACACTGCTAACAATCTTATTTTGACAGCAAAGTAGTGTAATAATTACCTCAACTTGCCTAATTTCTAAGAAATTAGTACCTTTTGGTGGAGCCAAAGTGTGTGGCAAGCACATTCAACCTTGCCATATTATCCCAGGGAAGAGATCAGGTTCTTGCACGAAGTATTAACGACACTTGGCAAAAGGAAACTTACAATTTTAATAATGTCCTCTAGAATTAGTAGTGATCAAATGTATGGGAACAATAGTTGCACATATTACTTTTACTTGTCCATAATGGACTTTGCACTCCCCTTAAGAAATATTTAATGAAGTGCACATTTATCATAATACCCAAATTAAGTCTCAATGGACTTAGGAAATAATTTGGGGAAGAGTAGTTAATGTTAAGGGTAAAATAGAAAAAAATACCGTTCTCTTGAAATAATCTTGTATTTTTGCCTCCACTAAGAATTGAACTTGAGACCTTATGGTTCTCAACTCAGTTCATTGACCACTAAATCATACCTTGACTGCTTTAGAGTCTAGTGAGTCAATTTATTCATGAGTTACAGTAGGTTAAGTAACTGGATTTGTGCGAAACCACCATTAGATGATAAACAATAAAGTCAAAAGGAAAAATAAGAGGAAAAAGTTATAAAAAGACTAGTAGAAAGTACATATCTCATCATATTTTTGCACTTCAACTATGGCGGATCAATTTTTTGTTTTTATATTGGTACTTTAACTATGGTGGATCATTGAGCTCAAATTATTAGAAAATGATTAGGTTGTCCGTATCAGCATGCGGTGCTTTTCGAACGAAGTGTCTGTAATAAGCTATATCACAAGCTCATGTTTCTACAATCTTAATCTGTATATATTTGAATGATGCTATAAATCTTCATCAAAGTGCTTATTTTTTTATAATTGAACAAAAGCGAGTCATCAATTGTTCTGTTTTTGTTGTGATCTATTTCTACCAAGTTACTGACTTCTTCTGTAAGAAGTCTTCAGGGGGGCTAAGGATGTAATAGAAGTGGTTAATCTCGAGGATATAGTGGGTATGAGGAGAGGTAGAGGTAGACAAAAAAGTACTGGGGATAGGTGATTAGACAAGACATGATACAACTTCTGCTTACCGAGGGCATAACCTTAGATAGGAGAGCGTGGAGGTCGCGGATTAGGGTAGAAGGTTAGTAGGTAGTAGTGTATTGTCTGTCGTAATTCTAGCCTTTTCTTGTAGTGTGTCCCTTTTGGTTTCTATCATCATTTGTGTTTATTGTGTTTCAGTTATCACACTATTTTGTTGGTGTTACTGTGTTCCCTTGACTAATAGCTATATTTTCTTCACTGTCGTTTTTATTTTCCCTTTCATACCTACTTTGATTTGCTGTACTCAAGCCAAGGGTCCTCCAGAAACAACCTCTCTATCTCCACAAGGTAGAGTTAAGGTTTGTGTATACTCTACCCTTCCCAAACTACACTTGTGGGATTTCACTGGGTATGTTGTTGTTGTAATCTCAAAACACTGAGTTGTTGTATGCATGTTCACAATTACGCTCTAATTGATGTCAAAATTGATTTTCTGTCTCAGACAAATTTTATGGCCGACTATGGCGAGGACGCGAGGGCATGCTCAGTGACCTGCTTTTATGTGCCTACAATGTTAATAGCTTTTCTTGTTAAGCACATTTTCTTCAATTTCTACCTGCATTAGTCTCATTTTTCCTTATGATACCATTTGTGGTGGTGATTTATGGAGGTTTCCTGAAAGGGGATCTGAAATTCCACCTTGGTATTTGTACAAGGTTGATACTGAAATGCATGAACGACCATCAACTAAGTATAAATGTACACGTGCACTTCCCTAAATCGGAATTGCAGAACTTCTAAGTCCTCTTTTAAGGTTGGAAGTGAGGGATGCTTACCATCCTAGCAACTCCCTCTTGTCATATTGCATGTTATTCTAGATTTTTTTCCCCACTTTTTGTGTACAATGTGGATTGAACTTTTAGAGTAAATTTTTCCATTGGAGAGTGGACCAGTTATCCATTTCCTTATTTGGTTGGTGAGAAGTTGTGTTACTGAGGATTGTCCATAATTAGGATGATGCAGACATACATGTTCTTGGTGACTACTGCACTGAGAGAAACATGGAGAGCCTTCTTCCCTCTTAACCAAGAAAGAGTTCTTATGTGGTTAGAAATTGCCAAGCTAATGTCCCAGGGCTTTGGTGCAGTGGTTAAAGCGCAACTTGTAATGTATCGGTTAGGCACACATCCATAGGTTTGAACCCCATTGTAGACAAAACCTAGTAATTAAGTGGAAAATGATAGAGGGGTGGACCCATTATAAGTTTATCACTGAGTTTCGAACCGTGCATCAGTGACCCTTCGGAATTTTTTGGTTATTGGAACAAAGAAGAACTAAGCTATTCCTCTACAATTTAGAACTACACTTGTTAAACTATTTTACTCCCTCCGTTTAAAAAAGAATGGCCTAATTTGACTTGGAACGGAGTTTAAGAAAAGAAAGAAGACTTTTTAATTTTGTGGTTCTAAATTAAAGTTATGTCAAATGTACCAAAATTCCCTTTAATCTTGTGGCCTTAAACATGCCACGTGGAAAGTTAAAATTAAATTGTTGCCAAAAAAGGAAAGGGGTCATTCTTTTTGAAACATACTAAAAAGGAAATTGGGATATTCTTTTTGAAACAGAGGGAGGATTAATCAAAATGAAAATGCACTAGTACCTGTTAAGGAAATATCATGCATAGTTCTAAAATATTTTCCTGTTAATTTGATGTAACATGCTTTGTGCACCTCTTCTCGTTCCTTCTCCCTCCCCCTTTTTTTGCATTCGTTGAATGATAAAATGTTTGAACTCATGCATTAACTTGTTGGCGACATACTTCCCTACTTAGGGTTGTTGGTTGAAGTCTCATACAAATCCTAAAATTCTTGCAGGTTAACTTTTTTCTAGGGCAATGGGTCAAATTTACCCCTCTACTTTATTATATTGTTCAACTTTATCCTCCGTTATACTATCTGGCCAGTATTACCTTCGCTTTTATGAAGCTTATCAGATGTACCCCCAAACTAACGATTTCCCCTATCTGGCCAAAATCACCCAGTTTGACCCACCAGACTGACACCAAATCACAGAGAGTATTTTGGATAGATAGCACACAATAGAGGGGAGGTTTTCATTTTTCCTTCTTATCAAGGATTAGATCCAAGCATTTAGAGAACATTCACTGGATAGAAGGAGACGATGCTCAGATACACGGAGGGTGAGGTCACTGGGAAGGCAGATTTTTGGTAAAAAATGGAGCACCACCTTCAGTCTCCCTCGCCTCACCGTACACCACTCTGCCACCAAACACCACCGTGAATCACCACCCTAACACCATCATGTGAATGCCCTTTCTTCCATATATCACATTCCTGTACAGATCCATGAACCACCCGCAACTCAGTCGTGAATCCCATTACCTCTGGAAAAAATATCGCCAGCTAACTCCATAGCCACTGGCTTCAACCCAGAACAGAGAGCCCCTCCCCCATTTCAAGCCACTAGAATACCTGTTCTTGCAGTAGAAACAAAAGCTGATTGAGTGTCATAGATTGTTGAGGTTCATTTGGTCACCAAATCACAGAGAGGATTCAGGACAGTGGGCAATAATTCGCATCTATTGAGGAAGTAAGATTGCAGCAGGAATTTCATAGTAAAAGATGCAACTGTAATTCAAAACCAAGAAGATCAACTTAGGAAGCTTTTCCTCTTTAAATGCTGAGAATTGAAGCAAATTAAATTCAAAAGCACATTTATTCTAATTTGACTAATTTGGTTCATTTTTTGGTTGTGATTTTGGTGTAGTTTTGGTTGAGATTTGTTCAGTTTTTTTGCTAATGCCTTGGTCCAATTTAGGGACTGTTTGGTCCAATTCTGGGACTGATTTGTTTCAGACTTTCAGTTTTTGTTGTGATTTGATGTGGGTCTGGTGGGCTGTGGGTCGCGGATTTAATTGTGTAATTTTGGCCAGATTGGAAGAAACTGTTAATTTGGGGGTGGGGGTGTTAAATCTGATAAGTTCCATAACTTCGAGGGTAATATTGACAAGATAGTATAACGGAGGATAGAGTTGAACAGTATAATAAAGTACCCTTTTCCCTTTTTTCTATACCCCTGAAATAGGTTTGAAATAGTTAAAGAGTTTTACTAGTTTGTTTACCCCAATTCTGACTTCACCATTTTTACTTACTGCTAGTGTGCACACATGTGTTAATTTTGTTGTGTGATGCTTGTAATTAGTCACTTAACTTATGTCCTATAACTTCCATGCAGCTGTAACGGGAAGCTGAAATGAAAGAGGAGGGGGG